CTGTCTATCAAATAAAAAGAGGGAAATAAACAAATATCTTACAAAGCACAACATCAAAAAAACAACAAACAGATTTAAATATCACTTAGCTACTTTGACACTCACTTCATTTTTTAACTGCATATCCTAAATCTCGGTTTCAGAAAATGTGCAGCGTATATGCATGGATAGGTGAAAAATATAATGCAAACAAGTTTCACATTTTGACATTCCCCAATATTTATTTACAGAAACAATAAAAATAAACCACAACAAAGAGAACAAGAGATGGTTGAAACAGAACAAAAGCAGCTCAATTAAAAATACAGTTTGAATATTTGTATAATGCTTCCATGGTAAAAACATAATCCAGCAAGGAAATGTACGTGCAGGGATGAAATCTGGGTTCACGTTTGCACATATACTACAGTATTTATCCGCACCATTTGAAAAGGTAGTGAGCTTAGATTAATTTGTCACATAAACCTTAAAGACTGTAACATTTTCTTCAAATTAAAAGCAGTATTTATAAAGAGAAAAAATAAACTTTGTACAATCCAAATTAAGTTTGTAAATGTGGCATAACCTTGTAAATTACTGGTATTTACAAAACAGATTAAAACAACTCAAAGACGCACAATCATACTGAACATCCATTGCGACTTTTATTTACACTGATTATTATCCTACATGAAGGCGGTATAGTGTCCCTGTGAGAAAGGTCAGCACGCTATGTTAATAAATAGAGCAACCTTCTAAGTTGGAACCGATTTAACTCATCAGAATTTAATTTATGTCAGACAACAGAACCCAAGTAAAATCTCACATCAGCGTAATTCATGTACACGCTTACAGACGATTCCATTTAAGGATTTAAAACGGATATTTTTAAAGGACATAGTTCCCCAAGTTGCCTTTTCAGTCAACAAATAAACATCTTGATAGATAACGTTAAGCTTTGAGCTGCCAGGTGGATCTTTAAACACACACACATCCACACGCTCACCCAGGAGCTTTTATATTCAAGATAAATCTGCTTGAGGTACGTTGTTATTCGGGACGTCCCGTTCGGACCCCAGGCATTTTTACACAAAACTCAACAACTGATACCCTGATCCAGTTCATTCTGGTTTCAACCCAAGCAGTACTGGATAACACATAGACCAGAGCATCATGGGTGAGTGAGTTAACAGTCACAGTTAAAATGTAAACCATGCATTATTGATCACATTCATTAATTATTGAACTGCAATTAAAATCTACTATATTTTCAAACATAAACATGGCATCGGTGTTAATGCAGCACTGGACAGGGCGAATGTTATACTGTATTTGAATGACTGTATGAGGCACAAATGATATCTATAGGGACATTTCTAACTGTTACGGCTGCTATAATGCATTAGAGAGAGAGAAAAAAAAAAAAACAAGATATTTTTTTAATGCAATCATAAAATATTCAAAATGTCTTTTCTCCATTATCTAGTGAAAATGGTCCAAAAATGTAAAACTCAACGTATTCCTTAAAAGCAGACTTTGGCTATTTAAAATGTGCGTTATATACACAGACAAAAAATGTATTTATTCCTCACAAAAAAAGTATTTAGTGTTATATGAATGCCACCTTTAAGGGTGTAAAATTTGTTTAGGAAATGAGAACATAAAATAAATCTCAAGTATCTGACTTCTAAAAACTCCATATTAGCAGCTTTGCTGGTATCAGAGAAAATATGCAAATTGCCATTGTTAAAAACAACATATGTATGTTCTTTACATTCAACAAACTTTTTTCAAAGATAAACAAAAGAAATGCTTAAAATAGAGCAGACCATCCCAGGAAAGACTCTGCATTTCACTAGATGTCAAAGTGACGTACAAAATATTCACACAGTTGTCATGTTTTATGTAACATAAAATAATGCAAAAGCTCCAAAGTCGAAGCACCTGTGTGTGTTAGGTGCTCTAACAGAACTCTGGCTCTAATTTCTACAGTTCACAGTAAACAAACATTAAAAGATGCAGCTCTGATTCACTGAGCTCTAACTCATTTTCCCCCGCGTAATATGCCATTGAAAGTGTTTGTCATGTTAGCACACTGCCAGTTTGCAAATGGCTAACTTTATAAACAGTCATACAAGGATGCATGCATAGCTATTTTTCTGCTGCTGCAGAAACTCTCAAGAGTAGATATAAACTTCTCCCTTATCCTCATCAATCGTCGCCGTCTGGGGTGCAGCTCGCCGTGTTGTGCAGGAAAGACTCCTTCTCTGGGCTCATTGGCTCTCCGTTTAACGAGCAGGCGGGAGGGAAGATGTCAGACCTGTTGGAAGCTGCTTCTGAACTGTTCCAAATCCCATACCCGAAGTAGATGATAAAACCTGCAGTTTGTGGGAGAATATCGTTTAGAGAGGTCAGCTTCTTTTTATAAAAGCTGAAAAAAAATGTTTTGATATTGAATTAAAGTACCTATGATCATCCAGATGGTAAAGCGTATCCAGGTCCCTCTATCGAGCTGCATCATCAGGTAGACATTGACAAACATGCTGACGACAGGAATGAAGGGCAACAAGGGAACCTGAGGAGAGAATGTTCATTTCAAGAGGTTAACATTGAAATCCTTTTCCCAATATAAACGTCTTTTTTTTTTTTTTTATGAAGTGTAGTGGAGGAATGAATTCATGTAGGCAGAGGGCAAATCAGTGACCAAAGCAGAATACCTTAGGAAAATTAGCTATCTGCATGGTAATTGAGAATTAAGATCTTTATTGGTTAAATAAAGTTTAAATTCTCAGCAAATGTAAAACAAAAATGTAGCTGTTTCATTCTTGAAATCTAGTGTGATTTATAGCCAGATCTTAACAGAGGGGTCTGGCTGCAGACCTGCACTGCCGGGAGCCGTCCTTGCAGACCTGCACAATACGGCCTCCTGCACTGTCAAGAACGGAGTTTATTCTGGGCGTTTTAATCGAAGCCTTCAGGAATAGCACGCAGCCTGATTTTATTAGAAGAAGAAGAAGAAGACATATTTTTTTTGGAAGGCAAATGCACACTTAAATCTGCTTTTTCCCCAGGTAAAGACCAAGAAAGTCATGTTTTATCATATTTTTTTTTCTTTTACTTATTACATCATCCGTCTCTTATTGACGTATGTTTCAATATGATGCTGTGAAATCTGCTGTTTTGACAATAAAAGCACTTGCAAATAAAATAAAAAAATAAATAAATTTTTAAAGTTTTTTATTCTGTCTACTGTTTTCTCCAGTATTGTGGGGAAAAAACATAAGTTACAGGCTATTTTGGTCATGTATCTAGGTATTCAGTAATTTACTGTGAGTACACAAAGCTAAGTTAATTTGAAATCACACACCATTGGCAAATCTATGTGTTCCAACAGTCACCTAGCTAAGACGCAAAAAATACTAAAAGAATAAAGAATATAAAATACAATACTTGTAAACACAGATTAGATATATCTTCATAAAAGAACTTGGTAATAACATGGTAATAACATAGCAAGTCACACTACATTACTTGGTAACAAGAAAAAAATTTGGTAATTACCCCAAAATTAAGGTATATAATTTCAAAGTAATTACCTGTATGTAATTATTACAATCGTACATTTATGTGTAACACTGGAGACTTTTGGTGGGTAACTAGGTTAGGTTACCACATAACAGTTTCTATTGTATTTAACAAAATTTATTTTTGTTTACACTTGTGTGTTCAAAATGACAAAATAAAATCTGTCTAAGTCTTCTTGGCCACCACCTACGAACGACTTAAGAAGTAAATTGTAACTTATGATCCGGTTAATAAAGCATTATAAAACTGAACTTAAGTTACATATAAATAAGAGTTTAGTTAAGAAAATTGTCTTGCTGTCTTCTAGGTTTGATTTTCTGTTATATGCCAAGTAATAAACTGCATCCTATTAGATAGCTAGCTTTTATTTTTATTTCACTTTTACTTTGAAAGGATTCAAATAAACTTCAGTTTTGGACACAGAGGACACCTCACAGTGACGTTCAGCAACAGTGCAATTCTGCAGCTAGACTCTCTTCGATCTTGAACTGAGCGTCACTTGTCATTTTTCTGGGGGGTCACATTTAACCTTGAACGTGAATCGTACAAATTTAACATCAAACAACAAAGAAAATATCAGTGATCGTACACAAACGGCTGGAAAGATTGTGAGTGGAAAGGAAAACATTTCAGAGAGGCGATTACTTAGTTAATTTCATGTAATGTTGGCAGTCTGAAGTTTGGATGATGAAGTGAAGTGCCCGAAGTGAGGCAAATCAAAACCTGCATCTGATCACAGAAGACCAGGAGGAAGGATTAAAACAATGTGTAGAAAGTGCCTTCATTAATATTACCTTTAACCAGGGAGCAAGCACAAGAAGAACAGTCCTGTGCTCTAATCCTTACCACAAAATGTATTATGAGTATCTAACAAATCTATATCCTAATAAGCTTATAAAAAATCAAGTTGTATGAGTTAATATTGAAGCTGCACTGAAAAAACACAAAAGTGGGAGAAGAAAAACATATATTAAAACATAAAGAAAACTATAAGAACTATGGGTTTATAACTGTAAGAACACAGTAGCCAATAAACCTTAGATTTAGGAATCATCTTAAAAATCCTCGTGCTTAAAGATATTAGTTTAAAAAAAGTTTTGTGGGAAAGAAAGGCAAAAATAAATATTGCATTTGTTAATTACGTCTTTGCCATAAAGCTGGTCGAAATTTCATTTTTCAGGGTTTTATTCAATAAATTAATTAGATTTCATATTGAAGCAAGGATTCTGATTTCATTAACATGCAGATAAAAACCAAAAAGATTCTTCAAATTGATCAATAGCATTTAGATTAGCTGACAACTTGGATTTTATAAGGGAGGAATTGGCAGCTAAAAAGCAAAAAAAATGTCTTCGACCATAACAGCTGGAAGGAAAAGGTCTTAAAAATGTTTCACAACTTAAAGCCTGAAATATGGTAGAGGGTATTAGTATTCACCTGCACCCCCTCTTCCCTGAGGCAATCCTTTTTTTGAACCAGCATTGCAAATCTATGGAGGGAAAATTTGGCTGTTGTTCTAGACAAAGCAGCTCAAAGTCAGCCAGGTTAGGGGTATATCAATAAACAGCATGTTTTAAGACAATGTTGCATGTTCTCTGTTAACTCTAAGTCTGGGTTATTGTAACACAAAGATATGCATTGATCTAAACTATTCCTGTTGCTGTATTTTTAGGGATCCAGTCGTGATGGAGAGTGGGCCTCTGCCCCAGTCTTATTTGTTTACAACCAAACAGGTTTTTTCATTATTTATTCCCATCAACTTAAAGCTGCTTCCCCGTATTGGAATAAGAATCTCCACAGTATGATGCTGTCACCACCCTGCTCCAATAAGGTTGTTTGTTAGGCCTCGTGTGTTGCAATGTTTTTCATAATATATATTTAGGCCAGAAAGGTTAATTTTAAGTTGATTTGATCTGAACCTCTTACTCCACATGTTTAAATAGTCTCCTTCATTACTTTTAGCAAACAACTAACTGCTTTTATTAAACCTGAATTTGTGGCATGTTGAACCAGAAGTTACCAGAGATTCTTGGTTCTTCTCTGACTAAGTACTGTTTTTTATTTACAGCTAATGGAGCAAACAGTGCTCTACTGTGGGCATATTGCTTTATACCCGAAAGAACAAGATTATTAGTTTTCTCCATAGTGTGTCTGGGCTCCTGCTTAGAGATAGGGATTAGCTCAGTCATCCAGGGAGGACTCAGTGTAGAGCCACTGCTCCTCCAAGTCGAGGGGAACTGGTTGATGTGGCTCGGGCTTCTGGTTAGGATGCCTCATAGATGTCTCCCTGGTGAGGTGTTCCAGGCACGTCCCACCGGGAGGAGACCCAGGGGGAGAACCAGGACACGCTGGAGGGACTATGTTTCTCGGCTGGCCTGGGAGCGCCTTGGGATCCCCCGGAGGAGCTGGCCCATGTGACTGGAGAGAGTGACGTCTGGGCCTCCCTACTGAATCTGCTACCACCGCGACCCGACCCCGGATAAGCGGGAGGGGATGGATGGATGAAACCTAACCATACTTTTAATTTTTGCATAACTTTATCCCTAACCTCTGTGCTTTTTCTTGGTCTGTTCCTGCAGACATTTGATATAATAGGGTAAAAAAAAACTAAAAGGTTACGAATACATTTGGAAGGGACAGCATTAGAGAAAATTAAAGCAAGAAAACAGTATAGAGAGTTTAGACTCACCTTAAAGGCCAGCTTGGCTTTGCTTTGAGGCTGCCTGAATACAATAAATGTGAGAAGCAAGCAGGCCACCATGATGACGATCAGCAGAGACACAGACCAGTGGGCTGTTCCTCCTTGAACAGCCACCACACTGAAAACACACACCAGAACACCTGGAGGGACAGAAAGGATCCCACCATGTCATGCTCTGGGCTGGTGGAACATCAATCATTCAGAGACTGAAAGAAGCTTACCAAGTATGCTGGTGCAGATGTTGACGGTACGACCAGACATGGGAGACGGCTCAGGGTTGGAGGGGGACAAGAGATTCTTGATGCTGGCTGTATCCTCTGATTGAGGAGAGATGTCAGAGTTCCCTTCTATGTAAGACTCGGAAATGTCTGCATCATCCTGGGTGTTGGCCATTTCATAGGCGGTACTCAGCTGCTCAGGCTGGTACCTTCACATAAGAAGCGAGCAGAGTTCATAAGGTGAGGATGAGAGCTACAGTTCTGAAGTGAAATTTATAAACCTCAAACAAAGGAACTTATATCACTTTACTTCAGGCTTCTTCTGATTTATTGATTTATCGTGGATCAGTTCAGAATTATACATATACACTCAGATGTACTTAGTGCAACACTAATATTGGGTCAACCTGTCTAGTTAATTTCTACTGTGCAGATTATTTCCAACCTTCTAGGTTTTAATTTGTCTTGCATTCAGAGAACTTACAAGCAGCCCTCTCAAAGTATAGAGCCACTATGACTGGTTTAGATAATATGTCTACTGAAACAATATGGTGAGAAACACAATTACCTGAGCACCAACACACAGGCAGCAACCAGAGTATAGGCAAGCAAAGTGCCGATAGACATGAGGTCCACCAGATCCTTCAAATCAAACAGGAACGCCATCACAGCTGCAGGGAACAGAGGAGGAACATTTTCTTTCACAAACTAAGAGATTCAAAATGCACAAGAAATATTAATATACACTGAACACATAGTGTTAAATAGAGACTTTATATAGCAAATAACTGGCAAACTTTTACTTGTGGGATTTTTTTCTTAATCCCCAAACCCTCCTCCTTCCACACGGGGGCACTATTGCCTTTAGCTTTGTTTCAGCTACCTACCAGACATAAGCCCTGCCACCAAGACGGAGACCATCGGTGTCTTCCTCCCGCTGACATGAGCCAGAAAGGAGAACATCACACTGTCACGAGCCATAGCAAAGATAATGCGTGGCAGAGGAAACATGGAGCCAAAGAGGCTGAGCCACAGATGAAGGAAGGAGGAGGAGATTAAGAACTTAGCTGCTTCCACAAGCTCTCATTCATTCTAAGCCCAACAGAGCAGCTGCTCAGAGAGTGTCAGCGTGGTGGAAACTAAGGTCGGCTGCCTTTGTGCTGCATTTCATGTTAGTAGGTCCTGAGGATACTGGTCTGCAGGTTCTGCAGCTTTCATTCAGTTAGTGAGTTTAGGATGTGAGCTCACCTGCAACTATGCCTGATGTTACTGTGGCAGTTAGCGGGGTTTTGCTTCGTGTGCTGAGTTTAGCCAAACATTTGAAGAGCAGGCCATCGTCTGCCATGGCCCAGATCACTCTCGGCATTGGGAACATGGAACCAAGCAAACTATTACGGAGAAAGAAAAACCAACATGCAATGTCAATTAAAACACACAAAGCTCAGATTTCAGTGGTGAAATAAAAATGTGTTTTTTTTTGTATAAAAAAAGCATTTAATGAGAGCATTTTTATGACACAGCAGAAACCTATATTCTATATGCAGGCCTGTCAGTGCAAAAAAATAGAAATCTAAAGAAGTAATTTTTTCTTAAAATAAGTGCATTTTTTCTTGAATTGAGGAGGTAAGTTAGACCTTGCCAATAGAACAAGACAATTTACATTTAGAATAAGAAACAAAACAATCGCATTGTCTTATTTCAAGTGCATATTATTTAATTGTCTTATTTTTAAGAGTAAAAATACTCAATTAATTGGCAAATCATCTTTACCAACTGAAATTAAGAGTAACTTAAGAAATTTTGACTCATTTCTAGATTGCACCTCTAATGAATTGGTGCATCTTTTGGACTGGGAAATGTTTTAAATGTTTCTGTTGTTACATCATGTAAACATAAAACTTGCACTAGGGTAAAGTGCTTTAAATCTGGAGCTACAGTGCTCCAATAACGTCTCTAGGAGTTCTTGTGTTTATTTTTTAACTGACCTTGAATTACAATTCAATTGTTCTCAAAATAAGGCATATATTTTCTAGGCTGCACTACTTGGCTTTCTAACTCTATACATTTATCCCTATATGTGATTTTTTTTCAAAAGCCAATCATTAAAAATCTATTTGGAGATTTAAGGGCTTCAATCTAACTCAGATTCACAGTGAAAACTATTTTCTAAGCAGGGCCAAAAATTGTTTGATTGAAGCAAATTATCTTAACACAGAAGTCTGTTACAGTACCATTCAGACAGATAGAGGAAGGCCTGGATGAAACATGAAAATAGTTAAATATCATTTCATAACCAGAATAACTTCATAAATCTATCTGCATGTTTGATCAAAATAGTATAAAAAAAATTGTATCTGTGACCTGCCTCATAATAAACCCCACTCTTTCCAACCTACAGTGTTTTAACTGCAGCTCATCGGCCAACAGTAAGTAAAAAAATATGTAAAAGAATTCACAACTCAGTGCAGCTAAAATGAATTATTCATTTCTAAAGATTCCTGTTGAACAATTACGTGCCCTCTGTGGCTTCTCATGCTGAGAGGCAGTAGGAGACCCACTTACCTGGTCGACAGAGCACATAAAGAGCCAATGGCTACTGCATAAGTGGCTCCCTCCCAGCCGACATACTTAAAGGCCACTGGAAGAGGGCTGTTCTTGTCCAGCATGTAGTACGGCATCATAACAGTAAGAGCCGCCGAAACGCCAAAGTAAGCTACAAAACAGATGAGGAGAGAGGCCACTATGCCAATGGGAATGGCCCTCTGGGGATTCTTCACCTCCTCTCCTGAGGGGGGAACAAACAAAAACAAATAGGATATGTCAGCTAACAGGGCTCATGCAGGCACTACCGGTGTTAATGGATTCGTCCTCACCTGTGGTGGCGATGCAGTCAAACCCCACGAAGGCATAAAAACAGGTGGCAGCACCGGAGAGGACACCTGTCCAACCAAAAGGCATGAAGCCGCCTTGACCAAGAGTTTCCTTTTTAGGGAGGGAAAACGAGGTACTGAAGGTAGAAAAAAAAATTACTTTACTTACGCAGATCCCTAGAGATGAAATCGTAAACTTACGGGTAGACTGATCTTTATTTAACCTACTTAACGCTGGTGTTTGCAGTGATGTTAAGGATCTCATCAGGGTCCAGGCTCCAGTTTTTTAAGCTTCCTTTCACCAATCCAGAGATGATCACAAACAGCAGGACCAGCACATTGACGCAAGTGAATACTTTATTCACCATTGCTGATTCTTTGACTCCAAAAGCAAGCAGTCCTACAAAAGGTAAAAGAATAATTATTAAGGGGGGAAAAAAACCCACAGGATTCCTTGAAGTGTCTTATTCTATTTTAGTTTTAAGCCTTTTGTTTATGTACAAATCAAGGAGTAAAACATTAGGGGCAGTAAGGTGGATACACTGATGGATACATACAACTTTAAATAATAAAAAGGAAAGAAATAAAAGTAAAAAATTCTATTCAAAAATTTTAAATTTAGATTTTTATATTCTAAATTCTAATCCATGCTGAGAAAATCCTGCTTCATATTTTTGAAAACGTATTGCACTTTATGTGAATCCTGAAAAGTAATGCTTGTTTCTAACCTGTCAGAATAAGTATGATTAAGACAGCAAAGATGTCTGGATACTCTGCGAGGACTCCTGGAAAGTTCATCCTCATATTTTCTCTGCAAAAAGTCTCAATGTGCTTTCCAGTCAGCTCATCGAAGGTTGCGCTCCATGCCCTCGCCACGCTCGAAGTTCCTGCACAGAGAAATATTCAGCTTATTAAAAAACAAATACTAAGACGGACGACGGTGTACTCTTATTTTCTGTTTTGTTTTATTTTTTTAACAGCCTCACCAATGACATAGGAGAGGATGAGGTTCCAGCCGGTAATAAAAGCCCACAGTTCTCCAACCGTCACATAGCTGTAGAGATAAGCTGATCCAGTTCTAGGAACACGGGCTCCAAACTCAGCGTAGCAAAGACCGGCCAGGACGGAGGCCAGGGCAGCGATGAGAAATGAGAGGACGATGGCAGGTCCAGAGCTTTCACGGGCTACGGCACCAGCGAGGACGTAGACGCCAGCGCCCAGTGTGCTTCCGACACCTAGGGCCACCAGGTCAAAGGTGTTGAGACATCGTGATAGCCTGGACTCTTCTGTGCTGCAGTCCACCACCTTCACCCGCAATAGCTGCTTCCCGACGTCTTTAAGTTTGGCCAGAATCATCTTTGTTAGCACCAAAAGGCTGAAAAAATACCTTTGGACAGAACAAAAGAAATGTTGATCAGATTTTGATACATCTGGTAACACAATACAATATCTGGACTTATAATTTCGTGCTGGTCCACAATCAAAAATAGATTTAGAATTCAACTTTATCGTCATTATACTGTCACAAGTACAAAGCATTGAAATTCACTCTGCATTTAACCCATCCCCTTGGGGAGCAGTGGGATACCTTTGTTCGGCACGCAGGGAGCAGTGTGGGGGTTAAGCGTCTTGCAGAGTGGCAGTCTGTGGGAGTGGAGCTTGAACTCAGAACCAATAGAACCCAAACGCAATGCACTAACCATTGGGCCACCACTCCCCTAATACCAATAAAATGCATTGAAATTTGTGGCTGCAACAACAATCCAGATGGCACAGTTTGTAGCACTGTGGCCTTGAAACAAAAACGGTTCTGGGTTCGATTCCCAGGGTTTTATGGACCATGGATACCACCAGGGGTTCTACTCAGGGTACTCCGGCTTTCCCACATTCCAAAAACATGACTGTTAATTTACAAGCAAAACAAAAGTAAATCTTTTGTTGATAAGAGAAATTTGGTAGTAAAATGTACTTTTGCATTTGTTTGTTAAATCAAATTGTCTTAGTTTGTAAAATCAACTTAGATTTTATTGAGTGAAATTTTCAAATAATTTCTATGTGGAAAAAGTTACCTAGAGTAAAATTTTTTTCAGTGGCCGGTCCAGGAAAGAGGTTCATCAGTTTACCGTGTTAATTTAAAACAATCACACTGCAATCAGTTTAATTTTGCTGCATCAGTCAATCTAAACCATATCTAGACTGAACACACCTTAAAAAGAAGAAGCGTGGTAAGTTTGGTGCTCATTGTGTGTTATTTAGTATTTATTCTGTACTTTATTCTTTTCCTACAAAAAGCTGAATATGCTTCTTTTCAATAGTGACGGCATCTACAAAACTAGTGCTGGGTACGTAGATCAAAATATTGGGTATTAAGAAATTATAAACCTCTAATTTCTTCAATTAATAAGGAATAAAATGAAGAAAAATAGCATTTTTATAGTTTGGTAAGGTAGGCAGAGTATGTATCAACAGTATGTAGGAATAAATTAGGGCTGAAACAATTAATGCGATTAATCAATTATTAAAATAATCGTCAACTATTTTAGTAATCGATTAATCATTACATGGAGAATATAGACTGTAAAACATGCCTTTAGCTCACAAAGCAACTCAATCAGAGCAGTAATTATTTCAAAATTGTAAAAAAAAAATAATAATAAGATAAAGGAAACTTTTTCTGTCAAAATGTTCAATCGATTTGCTAAATAATCGTTAGTTGCAGCCCTAGACTAAATAATTGTGACATTACAGTTTTAGTTTCAACCTTCCTCTAGAATAATACATCAAGCAACAGTAGTGATCCAGAAAAGTACTCACTTCACTTTTACAACTAAGCAAGATGGAATCCTCAGCCTTTCCTGATGCTCCAAAAATTAATTCTCCTGACTGCACATCACCATCGCCATCTTTAGATCAGACATTTACCACCATAGGTCTGACATGTGACTCAGGACGCCTTTTTTTTCTGTGCAAGGTGTTTGGTTTACAAATAGAACAGTGATGCATCACATGGCATCAGGGGCAGCTGTGATTACACCAATACTAACCCGCCCTTTCCTTTTTAAACTACTTCAAGTACATACAGAGGCAGAGGTAATCTGAATGAACTGTTCGTTCTTCTCAAAGCAGCCACCTTTAAAGATTTATATCAAACAAATGCTTGACTATAGGAAGTTGATTTTAAATATCCTGCTAATTTGGTCTAAAATAAGTTTTTACAATACCTTCCTGAGGATTTAGATGTCTGACTTTTAAGGTTTGATCCACCAAAGCAGAGAGAGTTTGATATCTATGTGATGCATCTTGAATTGAGGACACAGGCAGGAATGAGACTGTAAAAAATATACTGTGGTATTTTTACTTTAACACTAAGCCATTTACTGGTGTGCTATATTAGGAGGAAATGTTGTTCTTGATATGTAAAAACTGTATTGTCATCAAGCATTGAGAAAACCTCAGATAAGACCAAACAATTTTAAGCTGTGTGCCCAGGTCATAGTGAACTGTTATTCTGACCCACATTCAGCTTCTAAAACAAACAGAAAAAAGGCCAAATATGGACACTAGAAAATGTACATAGAGGGAAAACTATCAGTGAGTCTTTCCCATTGATCTAAAACTGGAACCAGCTTTTTGACATGCAGCGTGTCCTCCTATGCTGCTGGTGAACCAGATCATTAGCCACGTCCAGAAAAAAAAGAAAAAAGAGGAGGTGTAACGATGAGTCAGTGGTTCAGAATTAACAACAAAACCACACAGCAGAATGAACATGATGTGGCGTGCCTTTGGTGAGCTAAAAAAGGCGGGTGAGAGGAGAGGGCCCCTGCCCCCGTCTCATCCAATCGCTGTGCTGGTGACTCATAACGGCATGTGGATTAACTTGGAGGAGCAGTTGGTCCCGTGGTTTTAAATGTTTGCCTGCAGACACAATGAATATAAGCTCCTTGAAATGACTTTTATACTGACGGTCACAGATAGACCTATAAAGAACTTTTAATAGCAGATCAGCAGAGCATGCATAAATTACTAATTAATTATTCATTCCATTAAATTATCCTCATGTAAACCTGATGTTCAGCCAGGGATCTTTGAATTCATAGTGAGCGGATGTGAGTGGACAAGCAGTGTAAACACTCGGTCCGCCCTGTGGCTCTCAGCCTTTAGGGCTAGCAGGCGGATGATGCAATATTGACATACCAAAACTGTTATTTTGCTGTTTATGCTTTGGATTCAAGCAAATTCCAACACGCCCTTATACTTTACAATGTACTGTGTGTTGCAATCATACCTCTTAATTTTGCCAAATTCTGCAACATTAAAACTGCAAACTTCAATGCAATTTATTGCAGTGTTCATCTTAAAAACCAACAAAGTAATGCATAAGTGTGACGTGAAATTATTTTTACAAATACTAATCCAGGAAGTGTGACACATATTTATATTTAGTCTGCATTTCTTTGTACCCCTAAATAACTCCAAAAGCAGGGGAACAAAGCTGTGGCTAAGTTTCAGTCAGGATTAGGTTGTAAAACAATATTACAAATGTCAAACATTACAAACTCACACTACATTGCTCAGTTCTACATGCCGGAATGGAAATAAATGGAAGTTATCTACCAAGATGTCGCCAGAAGGACGAGATGGGAAGCAGAGTAAGAAGCAGCCAAGAGGCCTGTGATAACTGAGGAGCTGCAGAGATACCAAGCTCTAAAGAGAGAATATATTGGCCAAACCAATCCTCGTTAAGATGGCAAAAACAAAGCCAATATGATGTTTATGTTATGTCACAAGCCATGCTGGAGCCGGTTTTAGGTTTCGGATTTCAGGCTAACTCTATGGAAACTTGCTGCTCCAGATGCCAAACCCAAGATGAAAGATAGATTCACATATTTAAACATCTTGTCTGTCAGTTGACAAAAAAACTCCTAGGTAGGTTTAGAAACCTTTTCAGAACAAAAGTCTGGTGGCTTCCAATTTAAGCCTGTTTTGTGGGTTGACATGACCCAGATGACAGAATTTGCAAATCAAAATTAAAACTCACCTTTTGACAACAGCTTTTAATGTTTGATTTTTATTCATGCTTGCAGGGCAAACCCCTGTCGGATGCTGGAGTTCACATCCGACATTGCATCCTGCAACTGGAGGGTAGCTCCAGCTCTCACTTTCATTGTCCTTGGGCAATACACTTTACCCGCTTTGCCTACTGATGGTGGCCGGAGGGCCCGGTGGCTCCTGTATACAGCCGTCTTTTTCTGTCACTGAGCCCCAAGGCAGCTGGAGCTCCAGTAAAGCTTGCTGCTATCAGTGTCAATGTGTGTTTAAAGCACTTTGGAGTCCTCTGACTTGAAAAGGTACTAACATAGGTACATGCTTATACTGTGTTTTCTGCTTATTAAGGGTCATGCATGTGTTCTGCATTTGAGATCTGCGTTATATACCGATTTCTTTGGTAAATGAGGGGAGTGTTGGTCTAGTGGTTAGAGCAGTGTGCTTGTCCTCTGAGAACCTTGCAAGTACTCGGTTCGATCCCCCCAGCCTCCACTCTGGGTTCCTGAACAAAACCCTTAACCCCTGATTCCCACACTGATGCCAGCAAGATACATGAGGTCATTGACGCCATCAGTAGGTAGTGTCTTTCCCAGAGGGAACACAAGAACAGAGAAAGCCGGAGCTGGGGGGCAAACACCCGGTTATAGGCCGAGCTCCCGCATCCAACGCCACTGTCAATCCATTACGAGTAACAGTATAGTGTCGTTTTTTGAGAAGTGCTATCCTTTTCTGTCACACCGACTACCTTCATGTCCTCTTTAAATCGATCCGTCTTCCTCTAGACCTCCTGCATGACAATTCTTCTATGGATCTACCAATTATCTCTCCTTTGTATACTTCCAAACCATTTCTGGCTTTATCCCCAAAATATCAACATGAGCTGACCCACTGATTCTGTTCATCCTTCTCGCTCCTAAAGAGAACCTCATCATCCTCTCTGCTACCTTTAGCTCTGCCTCCTGCCTCCTTCTCAGTGCTGTTGTTTCTAAATTGTCCACCCCTTCCGAATCTTACCACCGTCTTTTACATCTTTCCTTTCATTCTCGCTGATACTCTTATAACACAAAACACCTGATATCTTTCTCCATGCGTTACTATCTTCTGGCTTGTGAACATTTCTTTGCCTCATGGTTGCACTGGACTGTTGACCCTAATTACTAAAGGTCCACACAAACATCTCTTTAGATTTTCTTCCAACTGTTCCCTTTTCTCACTTCAGCTCACTATGTCATCAGAAGTGCTACACAAATAAAACTATTATAATTAACATCACTATTATTATAGTGCCAACATTATTGTTGAGGATATGG